ATAACCATTTCAAATTAAAATGATAGACAGTATAACTTTGTTGACCAAGAATTTAGAAATATACAATAAGGAGGCAGCTTGCCAAAGCTATAAAAAAACCTAGTAGTATTCAGTTCCTAGCAGAAAGCATCTCTAAACATGTATAAACAAAAGTCTGATTAGGAAGAATAAATATGAATATTGCGCAAATCTTTGACATGAATTAAGCCTTACTTGTATTAATCACAGTAAAAATAAATTGTAGAAATTAGTCTCTACAGGCATAAGAGGCCAGTCAAGTTTGTGATAATCTTTTTTGTTGGGTAATCTAGCAAATCTTTCTTGAGTAGGAGAAGCAAATACAGGGACTGGAGGAAATGGAAGATATTTTAAATTCCATTACAGAATGCCTCATTTCTAAAAAGACTCCCAACAATATCATGGCAGCAAGAAAAGAAACAAATGGATTATCAACAAATCAATCCAAGTTATCACTCAAGGTACAAATGACTATTTTATTATTTTATTTTATTTTTAAAATTTATAAGCCACCCCACTCCCGAAGGACTCTGGGCGGCTAACAATAAAAAACACATAAAACATAACAAACAACAATATAAAAACAATCATCCAGGGGTAAGGTTTTATAAACCCCAGGCCTGCCGGAAAAGCCAGGTCTTAAGTAGCTTACGGAAGACCAACAGGGTGGGAGCGGTCCTAATCTCCGGAGGGAGCTGATTCCAAAGCGTGGGTGCCATCACAGAGAAGGCCCTCCTCCGTGGCCCCGCCAAATGGCACTGCTTGGTCGATGGGGCCCGAAGGAGTCCCAGCCTGTGGGATCTAACCGGACGTAGGGAACTATGAGGTAGTAGGCAGTCTCGCAAATAGCCTGGCCCTGAGCCATATAGGGCTTTAAAGGTAATGACCAACACCTTGAATTGGACCCGGAGACCAATAGGCAACCAGTGCAGCTCACGGAAGATAGGTGTAACGTGGGTGTATCGAGGAGCACCCACTATCACCCGCGTGGCTGCATTCTGGACCAACTGTAGTCTCCGAATACTTTTCAAGGGTAGCCCCATGTAGAGCGCATTGCATAATCCAAACGTGAGGTGACAAGGGCGTGAGTGACTGTAAGGAGAGCCTCCTGGTCCAGGTAGGGTCGCAACTGGTGCAACAGGCGAACTTGTGCAAAGGTCCTCCCAGCCACAGCTGTCAAATGATGTTCCAAATTCAGCTGTGGATCAAGGAGGACACCCAAGTTGCGAACCCGCTCTGAAGGGGGTATATTTTCCCCCGCAAGAGTCAACACTGGACAGTCGACATGATCCTTGGGAGGCAACATCCAAAGCCACTCGGTCTTGTCAGGATTGAGCCTGAGTCTGTTAATCCCCATCCAGACCCTCACGGCTTCGAGGCAACGGCCCATCACATCGGCCGCTTCACTGAGAGAGCTCGGGGAGGAGATATATAACTGGGTATCATCAGCATACTGATGAAACCTCACCCCGTGCTGTCTGATGATCTCACCCAGCGGCTTCATATAAATGTTAAATAGGAGGTGAGAGAGGACCGACCCCTGTGGCACGCCGCATTCAAGGGGCCTCGGGGTTGACCTCTGCCCTCCCACCAATACCGATTGCGGCCAGAGAGGTAGGAGGAGAACCACCGTAAAACGGTGCCTCCCACTCCCACCCCTTCGAGTCGTCGCAAAAGGATACCATGATCAATGGTATCGAAGGCCGCTGAGAGGTCAAGTAGCACCAAGACAGAGGAATAACCTCTGTCTCGGGCCCACCAGAGATCATCCATCAGCGCGACCAAAGCAGTTTCTGTGCTGAAGCCGGGCCTGAAGCCAGATTGAAAAGGGTCTAGATAATCCGCTTCATCCAGAGACCGTCGGAGCTGGAGCGCCACCACTCTCTCTACAACCTTCCCCACAAAGGGGAGATTGGAGACTGGACGGAAGTTATTTAAATCAGCCGGGTCCAGGGTAGGCTTCTTGAGCAGGGGCCTCACAACCGCCTCCTTCAGGGATTGTGGAAAAGACCCCTCCCTCAACGAAGCGTTGATCAACACCTGGAGCCAGCTTCGTGTCACCTCCTTGGCAGCCGAGACCAACCAGGAAGGACACGGGTCCAATAAACAAGTGGAGGCGCTCATTGCTCCCACCACTCTGTTAACATCCTCAGCAGTCACAGACTCAAATTCATCCCATAAAACTGAGCTAAGACCTGCCCCAGTCAGGGTCTATGTCTGTCCGAATCCGAGCGATTTTGTCTGATAAGAATTGCACAAATTCCTCTGCTCTACCCTGTAAGGGCTCCCCAACTTCCCGAACATTAAGTAGGGAACGGGTCACCCTAAACAGGGCGGCGGGGCGAGATTCTGCAGACGCAATAAGTGCGGAAAAATGCGAACATTTTGCCGCTCGTATCGCCACTAAATAAGTCCTAATATAGGCTCGGATTCGGAGTTACTAGCCCTCCAGCGTCGCTCTAGACGTCTCTTCTGACGCTTCATCTCCCGTAGTTCCTCGGTAAACCAAGGTGCCCTCCGGGATCCACAATCACGGAGAGGTCGCAAAGGCGCGATCCGGTCTAACGCCCCTGATGCTGCCTTATTCCAAGCAGCGACCAAGGACTCAGCCGGTTCGTGGAGGAGGAATCAGGAAAACCCCCAAGCGCTATTTGGAACTCCTCCGGGTCCATTAAACGCCTGGGGCGGTTCCGCCTCCCTGCGGTGGGGGAGTAGGACCGAGAGTAGGAGTAGGACCGAGAAATCTAACCTCAACAGGAAGTGATCCGACCATGACAAGGGAGAAGTGACTATACCCCTTAAATCGAAATCACGTCTCCACTGCCCCGAGAGGAATACCAAGTCGAGCGTGTGTCCTCCCCTATGGGTCGGACCCTGAATTATCTGGGTCAGGTCCATGGTTGTCATGGAAGCCATGAACTCCTGAGCCATACCAGAGGATTCGCCAAGTGACGGCAAATTGAAATCCCCCAGCACCATAAGCCTGGGGAATTCCACCGCCAACCCAGCTACCCCCTCCAGCAGCTCAGGCAGGGCTGTTGTCACACAGCTGGGAGGCAGGTAAGTCAACAACAAACCCGACTGAACCCTTGAATCCAACCTCAAGAGAAGGGACTCACACCCAACAACCTCTGGGGCTGGGATCCTGCGAGGTCTCAGGGATTCTTGGACAAGAATCACCACTCCCCCACTCCTTCCCTGGAGTCGCAGTTGGTGCATTATCTGAAACCTCAAATTGTCAAACTTTGGACACATTATATGAAGACCTGGTTCCTTAGAGAAAGCTGTGATGCTGGGAAAGAGGACAGGAAAGGAAAGGAAAGGAAAGAGCGAAGGTGAATGGACTCAGTTATAGAGGCAATAGTTACAACTTTGGAAGACCTGAAGGACCAGGTTGGGGACAGATCATCATGGAGAAAATCTATGTGATTGCTAAGAGCTGCCATCAACTTGATAGCACATAATCAGTCCTTGTTACTATGGTTGAAATACTTTGTCTTCTTTAAAACAAGGGCTAAAGCACCAGAATAGGACATGCTGCCACCAATAAAACTTTGCATCTTAAGAAAACAGAACTCTTGGAATAATTCTTCCAACAGGCATCCTTTATTAAGAGAAAATGGTTGCAGGCATTCTAGACAGGACTTGGGGTCCAAGCTCTCCCATTCAAGGTTTTAAAGAGTTCCCCAGTAGCCCTACCTAATCACCCCCTACTTCCAGCGAGAGTCTCAGGCATTACACTCCCACCCCTTTTCCTTGCTGCCGGCTGGATGGAGACTTCAGAGAAAACTACATGAAAGGTAATAGCCCCCTTTGTTATGGTTAGTCCTTTTGGTGATACACACATCCAGTTCCTTTCTTCAGAGAAAACTACATGAAAGGTAATAGCCCCCTTTGTTATGGTTAGTCCTTTTGGTGATATACACATCCAGTTCCTTTGAAGTGTACTGAAGGAAGTGAGGGCCATAAAGCCCCTTTGTTCACCCCCTTCCCTTCATCATATGACAGAATCCAGAGAAGGCAGAATTGGGGTTTTCTATAATTGATAACTAGAGATGAAATATAATTGGATTCTGACAAGGTTCCAATAGGTGCCAGCCTTGTTTTACCATATTAATACTATAGGATAGATTTCCATTGATGGCTCAAAATGTGGTCAATTTTTAAAAAGTGGACAAGACAAATGCAGCCAAATACCAGTTAATGAGTTTGATTAAATTTTGCAGCAAGCAGTGTGAAAGGAATCTTTTTCAAAGATTTTGAATGGGTGGACTCAGATCAGATTCTGTACTCAGAGCAAACTGAATTTAGGAGGTGTTATAATACGATATGGATATTGTTGGGCAAATTCCCCACAACTTCTATATGAAATTCACAGATTTTTAGTGTTTGGTCCAGTAAATAGAGCCAGACTTTGGGAAAATGTGCTAGTCAATCATTTTAGAGGTTTATTTTCTTCATCTTTAAATTATATGAAGATAATAGTGTACAAGTTCATATAGAAGAATTGGGACATTGCCAAAACAAATCTGAACGAATAGAGGAGGAAGACGGGTATATTTGAGTTGTTTTGTGTTCTGTTTAAATAATAGCAACACTGTCACAGAACTTTCATCTGTTTTCTTGTTGGAGAGAGATTGGCTGAGCCAGGGGGAGGAGTCAAATCAGTCAAATAGTTTGGAATCCTTTTGTGGGCACAAGAAGATAAAGTCTGACCCTTTTTGAATGCCGCTGAACTTTATCTAGTTTTACCATGTGCAAACTGTCAATCTAAAAAGTTTCCTGTGTTAAAACTCTAATTGAACTCTTCTTGTTTAGATCTGGTTGTTTACCCCTGACCTATCTCCCTCCAACAGTTTTCAGTGAAGGAAGTATCTCTGTATACCTATACATACAGATGCATGGTACTAACCTCTGTAACCAAATTGACATGCAAACAATGAAATTAATGTTTACTGTAGAATAAAAAAAACTCAGAATTATTTACTCCAAGACAAAGAATTTAGTCACTGTCAGACAACCAAAAGCACAAAAATTAATTTTGATGGCAACACATTACAAGTGAATTTTTAAATATTATTGATTAATTGCACCATGAAGTGAAAATATGAAGAATGGGAAAACTTAAGCAACTTCTATGTGATACTGAATCATGAATAAGCACTGTTCTCTTTGCAGAGAATGGAAGTTTGCCTGCTTGCCTTTAGACTTTCATTGATGTCTTTTCCTTTTCTTTCTCAGATTTTCATTTGCCAAACAGTTCTTGTAGGAAAAGTTTGAAGCAGCGACATGGGCCCAGTCTTATTAACAGCATTTTAGATTGAAGGATTCTGTAACTGGAACAAAAAGAAATTGTTTAATCTAACTATTGTATCTTGCTTCTGTAATAGCATTTGCATTAGGGACAAATTTCATGCAAGAGTGGGAAACATGTACATGGATGGGATGTACTGAAGGAGGGAATAAGGGAGTGTACAGGAATGATTGATGTCTTCCTTATAGGGTAATAACTCTGTTGTCTAATGTTGATTGGTTGACAAAGTTTATAAAAAATGCTACTAACTTTCTAAGGTGTGACACTTCTGAACGCAACACTGCCAGTGTTCAGATTGTGTTCCCACCCAGAACTTATTTTGATTGAAAATAAAGTGCTGTATCTTTGAGAAGCCTCTGCTTCGGTTTTCATGATTGCATTTTTATGATTTCTCAAGTTTTGCCAAGGCCAGTGACCTTACATATTTGGTGCCCAAACTTGAAGGTTTTTTCTTCAAGGTGGTTTCCCATTGAAACTCCCTGTGAATGAGTCCTGTTGTGACTCAGCAACCTTCAGGCATGACATCCAGGAAAACTGGTGCAGGCCAGCTGTAAAGTCAAGAATGCTCCCAGAACCTTTGTGTCTGGTGACTTTTGAATTGGCTAGCTGCTAGCAGACCTGAGTTTGTCTGAATCCTGAATGTTTAAAGTGGCTTCCATCTCATCCCAGTGAAGGTAGGAGGAGATGAGAACACAGGAGATATTTGGTAAGTAGAAACAAACATTCCACAATGAGGAGGAGGTTGGGGGAGGGAGTGTGTGTGTGTGTGTGTGTGTGTGTGTGTGTATGTGAAATGCCTGAAAGGCAGGAATTTAGTTGCCTGCAATGTGATAGAGATGAATGACTATTAAGGAAACCTCTTGTAAGAGACTCCCGCATAAGAAAAGGCGTGGCTGGCCCCAGTTGCTGAAGGAAAGGCATTGAGAAATTTCTTGGGGGTCATTGATTTGCACTGAGCAAATGAACTGGTGTTTAGAGAAGAAGAGAGGGTGTGTTTCCAGTAGGCTGCGTGTTAGCCCATTGGAAAGCATTGAAATTGCAGTAGTAAAGGCTTCCGGTTCCGGTTTGCGGCACTGGCAGACACGCGGTGAGATCGCTCTCCCCACCATCCAATTTTTCTTCTTTGGGAGACCCTGGAAAGGGTCAAAAATCGCCCTGGAGGGGGGACCACTGTTGGGGAGGACCTTCACCAGATTGCGGAGGGGCGGCAGCCTCTCCGTTTGATCTGCGGCAACTCCTCAGGACCGAAAAGCTGCCATTAACATGGCTGCTAACTTAATCGCACCAGCCAAAAGACCAAAGCACTAATAAGCCTGATGAAGCAACTGGAGGAGTTGGGTGAGACTTTACCTTTTTTCTTTCCCAACTACTTTCCACTAAAATCCTTAAAATACCCTTTCCCCCAGTTTAATTCTGCGGCTTCTGCTTACTCCAGGAACATAAAGCCAAGAAACAAACAAACAAAAAAAAAAGGAATAAGATCAAATGACCACATAACTGGACTTGTAATATCTGGATACCTGGGCTCCCTAAAAGCTCTGTACTTCTATAAAAACTTACTGTTTTGCTTTTTTGCTAAGCTGGAAAAACAGGGGAGAATATTCTTTTTTTTCCTCTCTTGAACCGGATAAAAGCTCCATTCTGTATGTTACTGTGAACATCTTGTGGTGAAATTTGGCACAGCAAGTGAAATAATAATATAATAATAATAATAATAATAATAATAATAATAATAATAATAATAATAATAATAATAATAATAATAATAAACCCCCAGTGAGGCACTACCTTGACGTGGTTGTGGGGCTTGTGCACTCTGAGGAAGATGAGAGCTATGCCAGAGGTTTAACCATACTGGACAGGTCTCATCAGAGGAGTCAGACAAAGAGTGTCTTTCCCATAAAAAATATGGTGAGACGTAAATTACAGAATGCCATACCGGCTCGTATGTCACCCGGGTTAATATTAGAGTTCCTGGATATCTGGTGAAAAATGGGTTACAGGACTCAGGACTGTTGGCTGAGCAACCAGGGCCAGCAGCTGCAGAACTACTGGAAGAAAAGATGTTTACCCGTCGCAGATACACAGTGATTGAAAACAAAGAAATAATGATCTGTTACTACAGATCAAGTCCAACAAGAAGAGGATATCTAAAACGAATGCACCAGTTCTGGAAAGAACAACATCCAGAATCAGAAATAACAGAACAGAGACTAGCAGATCAACGCCGATTTATAACACGAAATAAAGTATTCACAGAAACAGAATTGGACGAACTGCAAAGGTTTACCCAGGGCAAAGAAATCAAAGCCTTACCAGAAGTAATTCAGAATGTAGAGGAAAACCAGGGGGAGTTGGCAGTGAAGGAATCCAGCAGAGATATACAACTGTTCTCATTTGGAAACCAGGCACCTCTTCCTCAGGAAGAACAAAACCCTCTAACTAAAGAAATAAAAGAATTGAAACAAAGAATAACTGAGCATCTAGAACAGCACAAAAACAACAGAATAAGGCTGCCTGCATTGAAGCTTGTTCCAAAGAAACAGCTAGCACAAGCATTAAAAGATGCAAATGCTGCAATATCAAGTATAAGCACCAATTCACTGCAAGAAACAAACCAACTAATGTACAGCACAGCTGCAGTTATAACTGAATATCTGGGATGCAAAATCAACAAAGAAGAAAAACAAACAAACAGTGCACCAGAAAAATGGAAGGTTAGACTAGAAAATAAGATCAGCAAGTTAAGATCACATGCAAGCAAGCTAGAACAGATGAAAGAAAAGAAGCTGAAGAACAAGAAGACCAAAGAATACCTAATCAAGAAATACCACTTAGAAACAAGGAAGATCAAGGAAGCACTGGAAATAATAAAGCAACAAATAACAGCTATAGCCAGGAAAATCAGTAGATATGAAGCTCGAATTGCAAACTATAGGCAGAACCTCCAATTTCAATCCAATCAGAAACATTTCTACCAATCCATCAATGGAGAAACTGCAAGGAATCAGTCAGTACCTGACAAGGAAGAAACAGTGCAGTTCTGGAAGCAGATATGGGATAACCCAAAGAAATACAACAAGGATGCGGCTTGGTTAAAAGAGGTGGATGCAAATAAAACAGAAGTTGAAATGAAAGAACTAGTAATAACAACAAAATGGTAGAAAAAAGAGCAAGGAAAATCAAAAATTGGTCAGCACCAGGTGAAGATGAACTGCATGGGTTTTGGTTGAAACATCTAACTGTTATACACCCACTCATTGCCAAGCAGTTCAACAATATACTACAAGGAGGAGAAATTGAAAAGTGGCTAACAACTGGGAAAACCTACCTAATAATGAAAAATCCAGCAAAAGGGGCAACACCAGGCAACTACAGGCCAATTACCTGCTTACCAACAACTTTCAAATTACTAACTGGTGTGGTAGCTGATGCAGTACAACAGCATCTAGTTGAAAACAATCTCTTTCCACCTGAGCAGAAAGGAAACCGCCCCAATAGCAGAGGAACAAAAGATCAACTCCTAATAGACAAAATGATCTTGGAAAACTGCAAGAGAAGGAAGATCAACCTAAATGTGGCATGGATTGACTACAAAAAGGCATTTGACTCTCTGCCACATGATTGGATAATAAAGTGCCTAGAAATAACAGGAGTCAGTAGAAACATCAGAAAATTTGTGCAAAGATCGATGGCACAATGGAAGACACAGTTGCAGATCAATGGTGAGAAGCTGGGAGAGGTTAATATCAAGAGAGGAATATTTCAAGGAGATTCATTATCACCATTACTATTTGTTATTGCACTGTTTCCTGTCAACAATACTGAATAACTCAGGACATGGCTATCAAACATCAAAAACATCTGCCAGACTATCCCACCTCCTTTATATGGATGATCTGAAGCTGTATGGAAAAACATCATCTGAAATAGAATCGCTGCTCAACACTGTCCGTATATATAGCCAAGATATTGTAATGGAGTTTGGCTTGGACAAATGTGCCACACTTACTATCAAACAAGGAAAAATAGCGAAAACTGAAGGAATCAAGATGCCTCACGAAAATAACATTAAGAGTCTGGATGAGGAAGAGTACTACAAATACTTGGGTATCCTTCAAGCTGACAACATCAAGCACACTGAAGTCAAGAAAAAGATTAGAGGTGAATACATCAAGAGAGTGAAGAAGATCTTAAAGTCCAAACTCAATGGAGGAAATACCATAAAGGCAATCAACACTTGGGCAATTCCAGTCATTAGGTACACAGCTGGAATAGTGGACTGGACTCAAGCAGAACTAAAAGCAATGGATAGGAAGACCAGAAAAATAATGACAATGAATCATGCCCTTCATCCACGCAGTGACATTGACAGACTTTATCTACCAAGGCAAATAGGTGGGCGTGGAATGCTACAAGTACATCAGATGGTTGAAGAAGAAAAAATGGCTTTGGAAGAATATCTGAAGAACAATGATGAAGATGCACTGAAATTAGTATATCAGGAAGGCTTACTGACTACTGAGAGACCAAACTGGCCTACAAGAAAGACCAAATGAAGAACAGAATAGAGGCATGGGAAGACAAAGCTCTACATGGCCAATACATTAAAAAAAATAGCTGGGAAAGCAGATAATAACAAGACCTGGCAATGGCTAAGAGCAGGAAAATTGAAGAAAGAGACCGAGGGACTAATTCTGGCTGCACAAGACCAAGCCTTAAGGACAAATGCATATAAAGTCAAAATTGAGAAGACAGCAACAGACAGTAAGTGCCGCCTATGCAAAGAAGCTGAAGAAACAGTGGACCACCTGGTAAGCTGTTGCAAGAAGATTGCACTGACTACAAGCAGCGGCATGACAAAGTAGCAACAATGGTGCATTGGAAGATCTGCAAAAAATATCATTTGCCTGTAAGCAAAAACTGGTGGGATCATAAAATAGAGAAAGTCATAGAAAATGATAAAATTAAACTGCTCTGGGACTTCAGAATTCAAACAGACAAGCACCTGCAACATAACAC